TCGGCCTCGCTGGCCGAGCGGCTTTCTCGCCCATTCCTTGGCATCGCTCGGACGCGTGCACTTGCTTTCTCGGCGAGGACCATCGGGGAGCACTTGAGGCCATCTTGCGCAGCATGCGCGCGCGCGAAGCCGGCGAGTGCACGGGGAGCGGACGTCCGAGAGATGGCGAGGCAGGCGCTGGGCGAGGCGGCTTCGACCCTGGGCGGCGTGCGGGCGCGGCGCCCTCGGGCCTCTTTGAGGCACCGCGCGTGGGCTTCACCAGGCAATGCCTTGAGGAGCACGAGGAGGAGGAGGAGGAGGAGGAGGAGGAGGAGGAGGACGACGACGATGAGGAGGAGGAGGAGGAGGAGGTGAGGAGGTGAATGAGGAGGAGGAAGGTGGTGGAGGTGCGAGGAGGAGGGGAAAAAGGAGGAGGAGGGAGGAGAAGGATGAGGAAGGAGAGGAGGAGGGAGAGGAGGAGGAGGAGGAGGAGGAGGAGGAGGAGGAGGAGGAGGGGGGGAGGAGGAGGGCGGCAAAGTCCCCGCGAGGCGGGCAAGAGCGACGCAGGGGAGGCCAGGCCACCTCGCGCCGCTCCTGCGCCATCGCTCGCCCCGCTCCCTCTCGCCCTTCCCCCCCCCCCCCCACCACGTGCTCTCTCACAGGGGTCTCTTGGGGACCACTTGGAGCGGCCTCTTGGCGCGCCCCACTGGATCGTCGTGGGATCGCTGGGCGCTTCGGGGTCTCTGGGGGAGGGGCGCTCTCTGTGTCCCTTGCTGATGCCTCCTGGGCGTGCTTGGCCGTCCTACGGTGCGCCGTCCTGGAGTTGTGAGAGCAACATACTCAATTTCTGTTGGGCAAGTCGTTCGCGGAGCTTTGGTAGACAGCAGAGTGGAGGATGGGCAGGAGGCGCGATGGGAGAGAGAAGACAGCGCCCTGGTCCCCCAGAGAGGCCGACAGGCAATGGGGGACGGCTTCGTCCGAGAGCGGTGTCCGACAGACTGCAGGGCCGCCCATTGTTCTTACAATATTCTCTTGTTGTGCATGATGTTGCATCCTCGTGCCCTCCTTTTGCTCAAGAGGGCCCGCGTCCGCAAAGGCCAGCAGGAGCCATGGGGGTATGGGGCAGGCTTCCACGACGTGCTGCACCAACGGCGCCCATCTTCGGGGGGCGGGGCAGGAACAGGAGAGTTGGGAGGAGGCGGGTGGGGAGGAGCAGGAACGACCATCTGATCAGGTGGTACGGGAAATGATGGTCATGTCAACAGGAACAACAGCAGAAGGGAGTAACACTGGTGGAGAGGAGGGACTCGAACGGGGGGGAGAGTGAGGAGGGAATCCCCGTAACTCCCCGCGAAGATTCCTCTTCAATGCGGGAAGCGCTTCCTCGAGCGACGAATGCCGCATGGGCCCGCCAGACAAGCGAGAGCCTCATTTTGAAATGGACGTGCCCTGCGCCCTTCGAGCGCTCAGGCATGCAAGCAGGGAGTATGATGCCTCTCTCTTAGACCGTCTTGGGCCCCTGTTTCGGGCCTCTTGGGAGCCTCCTGATGTGATCTCGATGTTCTCGTGGGCGTCGAAAGCCCCGACACATTTTAACGCCAGAACCCGTTAATAACCAACGGGAGACGACACACGATGTTTGCATCCAGGGGCCCTCTCGGGCGGTCTCGGAGCTCTCTTGGGGCGTTTTGATGACCTCTTGGGCCGTCTTGAATTTATGTTGGGGATCTTGAGGCGGTCTTGCGGCGCTCTTGGGCTGCCTCGCGGCACTCCTGGTCCTGGTCCGTTTGGGGGGCCTCATCGGGCCCTTTTGGGGGTTGTGGATGTAGCTTGGGACAGGCTCGACGTTCAGAGAGCTCATGCGACATACCGCAGAAATTCCCGAGATTTCCCAGGACTGCCCGTGAAATTGGGGGTTCGGGGTTTTCAGCATTCGAAAGTGAAACCCATGGAACACTGACAACTGATGAGCCTTGGGGCACTTCACTTCGTGCTGAGGACAGGTGGCGGATACAGTCGGACCGATGTACGGTTCGGCGAGGGTACCTCAGTGTTCTTCGTGTTTGTTGGATTTTCTTGTGCACCCTGGGAAGTGTTACCCTTGCATGGCCGCTGGAGGGTCTGATGTTCTTGGAGGATGGCCTTCTGTCCTAGTTCCGACTGTAACTCGTTTAGCATTGGGTGTCTGGGAAGTCGGGACCCCGTCTGATAGCGTCCCTGAAGCTCCAAGACGGCCCAAATGTTCCTCTAGATTTCCACCAGGTCTCACGATGGGCCCAGCACCTCCCAGAGAAGCCAACATGCAAACAACATGTATGTTTTCTTAGGCCGCTGCATCACTTTCGCGCATACTCGCCGTTGTGGTCTTGGGGCGGCCCACGAGGCCCCCCAAGAACTCCCCAAGACGGCCGAATGATTGTCCCAAGAAGGCCCCCGATGGCCCGACGGGGGCCTGGAACGGCCCAAGCTCAAGACGCCCCAAGAGGGCCTCTTAGAGAAACTCAAGACTGCCCAAGAGCGCCCAGAGACGGCCCCAGGACTCCGCCACACAGACGCCCTCCAATGCATTGTTCCTGGGCGTCAGGGCAGGGTGGCAGTGTAGCAATCACCACTGGGTGCCAGCGGCTTCATATACCGCTGCTCTCCATGAAGGTAGATGCAAAGTTCGTCGGAGGGCGTCTGTGAATATATCTTCGGCCCAGCAGCCCATGGCGGCGACCGAGAGCGTCGGAGCCGCGGAGCGCGGACGCGGGCACCACCGCCCCGCGGCCCCGCGCGCGGCAGCGGGGAGGCCACGCGGGGGGGGTGTTCCGGGGCAGCACGCTGGGGGCCCTGCGACTCGGACGCCGCCCGCATGCTCTTCCTCGGCCCTCCCGCGCCGGCCCTCACAGTCTGATCGGGCCTCCCTTCTTTCGCTCCTCGCCTTCTTTTCTCCTTCGCTCTCGTGCCTCAGTTCGCCTCCTGTGCATCCCGCCGCTCGCTTTGACCAGCGCCCGGCCGTCTTGCACCACCTGGCACCCGCGGACGTACAAAGTTCATGGGCAACGTGTTAGGGGTGGATGTGCTCAGGGGCAAGGTCAGGACGATGGGCACGCTTTCGGATCGGAAGCTGTGAGAAGTTGTCCAGGCGGCTTCACGGCAGCCCACGGGCGGGCCAGACAATGCAGGAGAGCCTGCAGCAGGAGGCAGGCGCGCAGCCGGGCCGGCGCCGCCCCTGCGGCCAGGAGGCACGGTGGTCTCCAGGAAACGTAGGAAGAGGAGCCGGAGGAGCAGGTGAAGGAGGCTGAACTGCGCGACGTCGCGGTGGACGCCTCCATCGCGAAGTTGCGGTACCTTGCCCTGGCGCGCCTCCTGGCGGTCAGGGGGTGTGCATGTAGTCTGTGTCCGACTGCTCTTCATGTTGCCAGGAGGGAGGAGGGGGAGGAGGAGGAGGAGGAGGAGGAGGAGGAGGAGGAGGAGGAGGAGGAGGGAGGGAGATGGAGGTAGGAGCAGGGGAGAGGAGGAGGAGGAGGAGGAGCTGGAGGAGGAGGGGGAGGAGAGGAAAGGAGGAGGAGGAGGAGGAGGCAAGGTGGAGGTGGATAGGAGGAGGAGGAGGAGGAGGAGGAGAAGGAGGATGACCAAGAGGAGAAAGGGAGGAGAAGGGAGGAGACAGGAGGAGGGAGGAGGGAGGAGGGAGTCGAGGGAGGTTGGAGGAGCGAGGGGAGCTCCGCCTCCGCTTTAACCCTCTCCGCGGCACCGGACCCCAGCACCGACCGCCTCCCCCCGAGCGGCTATGCCTCGGTGTCTGGCCGCCTGCGGAGCGCCCGTCCCATCCGCCACAGCCAGAGACCGGCCGGGCTGGATCGAGCCCGGACTTAGGCAGAATTGCTCGGGACTGAGCTGGAGGTTTTTCCATTGGAAGGGTGGGAGGGGGGGAGGAAGGGGGGGGGGGGGGACCAGGGGGGGAGGGAAGGGGGGGGACGGGGGAGCAGGGATGGGGGCGGTCGTCGGGTTTTAGAGTGTTCTTTTTTTTCTTGGTTTTCTTGATCTTTTTATATTTTTTTTCCGTTTTTTCAGCCCTACATAATCATTCTGTCCCTAATCCCATCCTCCTCTCCTCCAGTATCCCTAACTACTTCATCCCTCCTCCCTCTCACCTCATCCCTCCCTCCTCACTCATCCCTTTCCTCCCCTACCCCCAGCCCTCCACCCATCCTTTCCTCCTCCCTCCTCCCTCCTCCCTCCACCTCCACCTCCTCCTCCTCCTCCTCCTCCTCCTCCCTCCTCCTCCACCCCAATGGTGCCATCTGCCAAGAAGATTCAGTACCAAGCAAGAACCAGCACGGCGAGCAATGCTCGGCAAAGAATTCGGCCGCCGACCCCGCAACGAATCGCCAAGCCAGGGCTGAGGGGGGAGGGGGGCTGCAGCACGGAAGACCCCTCGCAGTTGCGGAGGGGGCAAAGGAGCTGGACACACGTAGGATTGACCCTTCGCCGGGGTGACCTTTGGTGCTCGGTTTTCGGGGGGGCGCTGCGGTGCCAAGCCCAAGCACGCAGGTCGCTGGCGTCGCCACACGCGCACTGGCCGGGCAACCGCTCACCAAAGGTCACTCTTGCCTAGGGTCACTCTTACGTGTAGCCGAAGGCGGAGGAGGAGGAGGAGGAGGAGGAGGAGGAGACGAGGCGCGAGGGCGGGGCGGTCGGTGGTCTAGTTTAGGCTCAGTGGGATCGGAGCGAGTCTGAGCCCCACCGACCCTTACCCCTGAGAGCACGAAGGGGGGTTGGCCAGTCACGCCACGATTCGGGAATGTTCAAGCATGGCCAGTGCCCAGACGGCGCCGGCGCGAAACATGACGTCACCAGGAGGGAGTGGGGTGGGCGTGGCCAGTCACGGGCGTTATCGCGAAGAACAAGAGAATTATCTCCAGACAGGCCGCAGCGCTGGGAATAAAGCAGACGAGGGGCGAGGCATAATCGATCGCCGCAGCAGCAGCAGGAGGTCAGACGCGCAGCGGGGCCGGCGCCGCGCCGGCGGACGGGAGGCTCAGACGCCAAGAGCCAGATTGTCACGTCCGACCTGGCCACGGCCCACTGCTGCAGGCCACAGGAGGCGCTGGGTGCCACAGGAGGCGCTGCCGACGGCGGCGGCGGCGGTGGCGGCCACGACGACGAGGTGCGGGAAGGGACGGAGGTGGAGGAGGAAGGGCGGGAGGTCGGGTGGGACTAGGACGGGGATGATTCGATTAATGGCGTCACAGAACGCTCTCAGAGCGTTTTGGAGCGGCCGCGACGCCCACTGCGCTTCCATGTTAGAGTCCCCGAGCTTTCCCAGTCCGGCACGAAGGCGTTTTGCAGTGCACCCAAGGCGGAAGCCGAAACCAGAACTGAATAACATAATATAACATGTAAAGGGCCCCCCCTGCAGGTTGGTTGACAGCACATCGCTCAGGCTCCCCGCAAAAAACATCAGCCAGGCAAGTCGGGTTTGCACCTTCATGCCTTGCTTAGCAAGGACGGGAAGGGGAGGAGGAGGAGGAGGAGGAGGAGGAGGAGGAGGAGGAGGAGGAGGAGGAGGAGGAGGAGAGGAGGAGGAGGAGGAGGAGGAGGAACGACTGAGTGAATCGAAGGCTCCGTGCTGAGCTACGAGAGCCACCAGCAGAGCCACGAGGGCCACGGGCTGAGCTACCGGGACCGCGCGCTGCGCCACGAGGGCCTCCCAATGGAGCTGCGAGGAGCCCCATCCGAGCTACGAGGACCACCCCGGTGGCCATGGGCCGAACTACGACGACAACGGCCTGAACTGACTTGATGAGGTATTTGGTATTTGGCCCCCGCCTTTTCTCTCGGCGGCGAAGGGGACTGGTCCGACAGCTTCGTCGTCGCGGCGGGGATTCTTTCCCCTGTATCGTTGGGTGGGCTGGGTGTTTTTTTTTGGGGGTCACCCGATCGCGCGCACGGACGCGCGCGTGGCGAGGTTTGTATTGTCCACAGTGGAAGAATAGCCACCTTGGATTGGCAACGAAAGTGACTCTTGAACGGTGGCCGACTGGATTCTGAGGTTGACAGACACGTTGTTTCGACGCGTTCAAGGAAAAAGAATGTTGCCACGCTGGCCTGGAAATTGCACGCGACCCCTGGCAGTGACCGGCTTGATTCTGAAGTTCATATGGATTTCCAACGTTTCCAACAGAAAAACAGTCACGCTGCCCTGGCGAAGCTAATCTGCTAATGCTACACGCTTCGCGTAGTCCAAAAACGATGCCCAGAGGATTTGCCTCGACCAGGGACGTGGGCAGCACGCAGAGGAAGGGTCTCCCAATGGAGGCCTCCTGGAGCGTCTTGGGGGCCTCTTGGCGGTCCCGGGCGCCTCTTAAATCGTTTTGGGAGCCTCTTGGAGGCCTCTTGGGCGCCTGCTGGGGCCTCCCGGGGCCTGGGCGCGTTCCGGGGCCCTCTTGAAACGCTCCTGGGGGCTTTGGGGGCGCTTTTGGAACCCTCTTGGGCCATCTTGGAACCATTCTTTCGAGGCCTCGGATGGCCATCGGAAGCGAAAGTCGAGAAAACCAAACACATTGATTTTCGCAAGGTTTCGAAACGATGATGGCCTCTTCGTGGCCTCCTGGGGGAGCTCTTTGGCCATTTGGAGCCGTCTTGAAGCGGTCTTGGGGCTTCTTGGAGCATCGTGGGAGCCATTTTGAAGCATTCTGGGGTACGTTGAGCCATCTTGGAGGTCATCTTGGGCTCCTCCAGGCGCTCTTGAAGTCATCTTAATCAGTCCCCCCCCCCGGAGGCCAAAATGTAGCCAAAACCTTGGTACAACCAATGGGCATTTTCGCCGGGGCCTCTTGGAGCGTCTTGGGTGCCTGTGGGGGGCCTCTTGGGGGTCTCTTGGGAGCCTCTTGGGGGGCTTCTTGTGCGCCTGTTGGGGGCCTCTTGGGGCCTCCTGGCCACCTCTTTGGGCCCTCTCGGGGCGCCCTTGGGGGCGCTCGTGGGGCCATCTCGGAGGAGATCGATCAAAGAAGGGGGGGTCCTGAATTAGCTTTGCCCCCCCCAAGAAGCTGTTTTGGACGCCCTGACCTCGCGGGGCACCCCGTTCAGGTCCAGGGGGAGGGGTTGGGGGAGGGGCAAACACCCTCCCCGAAGAGGGAAAAAGGGGGTTGGAAGAGGAGCCGCCCTAAATCACCTACGCCCAGAGGGCTGGTGGGATTTGCACAAAGTCGCGTGTCTAGCATTGCCAGCGGAACTATTGCTGGCGCCTGGCCGGCGCGCGCGGCGACGTGGGATTCGGTTCCCTTTATTGTTGGTTGGGTCGGCTCGAAACGGCTTGGGGGTTATTTATCCCACGGAATAATCAAGCGCGGGCGACGCTGCACGCGGGAGGATTTGCGAACAGCTTGCCGTGAGGACTGGAATGCAGAAGTTGTTTTGTTTTGATTCGTGAGTTTGCTCAAACTCGCTTGCATAGAACTGCCAGCCGAACTCCGAGTGGGCAAAGCAGCGCCGAGGCCAAGAGCTTCGAGAAGGACAGGCCAAAGACGACGACGCCGACAAAGACGACGACGACGACGATGCCGTCGCCGCGGTCGTCGGTGTCGCCGCGGAGATTCGTTTCCCTTGTTGTCGGGCGGGTTGGATGACGTTTTGGGGTTAGTTTTCCCGCGGACTAATACATTGTGGGCGACCCTGCACGCGGGAGGATGTGTGAGCATCTTCCCACGAGGACTGCAATCGAAAAGGTGTTCGTTTTGATTCAGTTTTTTTTTTTTTTTTTTTCTCAAACTGGCCTGCCAGTTATTGTTCGCAGAACTCCTTTTCGCGCCTGGTGGCGCTGGCGGCGGCGTGGGACTCGTGTCTCATTCTGGTTGGATGGGCCGGATAATGTTCGGGGATTCTTTCTCCCACGGAATATTGACCCCTGGGCTACCGTACGCTAGCCCTGCGAAGGAGGAGGGGGAGGAAGAGGACGAAGGAGGAAAAGGAATCGAAAGAGGCGGAAAAAAAAGGAGTGAGGAATTGGAGGAGGAGAAAGAGGAAGAGGAGGAGGGGAGAAGAGGAGGAGGAGGAGGAGGAAGTGGATGAGAGGCAACATGATGAGATAAACGGCAGGGGAGGTCCTGTAAGGGCCAGGCCCTGGCGCGTGAGAGTGCAATGAGGGGTAACCATTGCGGTTCACAACTGAAGCCTTGAGGTTTTTTTGGGGCGCCTAAACCAGCGCAGCCTGACCATGGGGCCTGGTTCCGGGGCCGCGGGTTGCGCTAAAGGCGTGGCCCGCGGGGCCGCGGGTTGCGCTAATCATTTTCCTGTTGTTGATCAGTGGGCAGGATTTTATCCCAGTGACGAATGCTTTGTGGACAGCCCTGCACGACAGAGGATGTCTGAACACGTTTGCCATAGGGTTGCTATATATATACACATACACACATACATACATACATACGTGTGAATATATATATATATATATATATATATATATATATTATTATATATATATATATATATACATATATTATATATATATATATATATATATATATATATATATATTATATCGGGTAGGGGCCCCGGGGCGGTGCCTGTCATTTCCATGGGGTGTGCAGGGCGCCCCCAGGAGCGTCCGAAGCGTCCCGGAGGGCCCCTGGGACCGCCAGGAACAGTTCGAAACCGCCCAAGACGGCCCGCGAGCGCTCCAAGACGCGCGTAGATAGCCTCAGGAATGGCCAGGAAGGCCCGAAAACGTTCCAAGAGAGCTCCATGAGGCCCCGAAGGCATCCCAAGAGGCCTCCCAAGAGAGCCCCGACAAGCCAACATCGTTGATTTGTATTGTTTTTGTTCGAGGTTTTTGGCCTTCTCGCTTTTTCGGGGCTCCGACGTTCCAAGGCCGTCCAAGAGTCTCCCAAAACCGCTCCAAGACGGCAGAAGAGGCCCCAAAAACCGCCCCAAGACGGCCCAAGAGACCCCCAAAATCGTTCCAAGACGGCCCAGGAGAGCCCCAAGATGGCCCAGGAGCCGCCCAAAACGGTTCCAGGAGTGCCCCGACACGGCTTCAAGACTGCCTAAGCGAGCCCAGCGGTCCCCAAAAGGGCCCCGCGAGGCCCCAAGAGGCCCCAAAGACGCCCCCAAGAGCCTCCCCGAAGGCCCCCAGAAGCCCCCAAGATGCCCAAAAATGGCCCTGAGCGCGCCCCAAGACGCCTCCAGGAGAGCCCCACAGGCCTCCGAGAGGCCCCCAAGAGGCCCACTGGAGGCCCTCAGAAGGTCGTCCCCGTCATGTTCCCGGAAGGCGGTCCGGGAACATGATTCCGCGCCTTGGAGGAGTATTCTGCGCTTTCCGAGGCGCTTTCCGAGGCGCCTTGGACGACGTACTACGTTTCTATAGATTGTCCTTCTCCTGTGTACACAGTCCTACATGTCTTACGTATGGGTCTATATATATATATATATATATATATTATATATTATATATATTATATATTAATATATATATAGAGCGTGTTCTTACCGCTTTCTGGCGGAAAAACCCGAGGGGGGTCACTATCCGGTTCGAATCCTCCCCCCTCCCCCCCCTCGGGAAAAGCCACAACAAGGGGTTCCTACGGTATTCGAAACCCTCCACCCCGCCCCCCCAGTTCATCATGAAAGGGGGGGGGTCGTACTGGTCTCGAACCCCACCCCCCCCCCCCCCCCTCCTCGAAAACCGAGTGGGGGTGCGGTCAGTGGTGGGGACGGTGTTGGTGGGGACAGTGGTGAGGGGATAGCGGGACAGTGGTGGGGACAGTGGGACAGTGGGACAGTGGTGGGGACGGTAGTGGTGGGGACAGTGGTGGGGACTATGGTGGGCACAGGGGGGACAGTGGACAGTGGTGGGGACGGTGGTGGTGGGGACAGTGGTGTGGGGACAGTGGGAATGAGGTGGAAACAGTGGGACAGTGGAGGGTACAATGGTGGTGGGGACTGTGGTAAAGGCGGTGGCGAGGACGGCGGTGGGACAATGGGACAGAGGTGCAGTGGGGACAGTGGTGGGGACAGTGGGGACAGTGGTGGGAACAGTGGGACAGCGCAGTGGGACAGCGGAGGAGTCCGTGGGACAGTGGGGACAGTGGGGATAGGCAGTGGTTG